TTGATATTCAAACTTAGCCATTTTCTTAAGAGACTTCCAACATTGCACTATTAGAGAACCCTTTCACGAAAATAAAGTTATTTGCATCTTAGTGAGATGAAGTTATGCATACAATACATGAAATGATCAGACTTTTTTTTTACTTCTGTGTACTCATTGATTAAGAACTTCTCATTCTCAAGCCTTTTTAGTTTTTTCAAACTAATTATCTTACTTTACCTTCTCTGCCAGGGGATTCAAAGCTCTAAAGCAAACAGTGAAGCTCTATTACCGTTTAGGGAGGTATAAAGAGATGATGGATGCTTACAGGGAGATGCTAACATACATCAAATCAGCAGTGACCAGGAATTACAGTGAAAAATGCATAAACAGTATTATGGATTTTGTTTCTGGCTCAGCTAGTCAAAATTCTGGTCTTCTGCAAGAATTCTATCAGACCACTTTGAGGGCTCTTGAAGAGGCAAAGAATGAGGTGAGGAAATTATTATCAATGTATTACATTCTCATCAGTGTTTCTCTCCAGATGTCATAAATGTCTTCCTTCTTTGCAGAGACTTTGGTTTAAGACAAATCTTAAGCTTTGCAAGATTTGGTTTGATATGGGTGAATATGGACGAATGAGTAAGGTATCCTTTTTGACAACCCTTTAATGTCAAATCTTCCTGTTTTTGTTTTATTTGACTAATGTGCGCTACATAATCAGATTTTGAAGGAACTCCATAAATCTTGTCAAAGAGAAGATGGTTCTGATGATCAAAAGAAAGGAAGTCAGCTGCTGGAGGTATATGCTGTTGAAATTCAAATGTATACCGAGACAAAGAACAATAAAAAGCTCAAGGTACTGATTATCTGGTATTATTGTTTGTGTTCTAATCCCCAACCCAACCCCACTGTCCCCTTACCATGGAGTCCTGGTTCCCTAAGATTGTGATGTTTTATTATGACTAATTAATAGATCTGACTTAATAGCTAACCTGTGTTCAACATATTTGCTAGCTTTTATGATGATTTCAAAACAGTCATAAAATTGGTAATTGTATTATTCAGTGGTAGCTTTTCCTCTGGTTCATTTTACCATTTCTGTGCATGAGATTTTTGGTTTAAATGCAGCAATTGTACCAAAAAGCACTTGCTATTAAGTCAGCAATACCTCATCCAAGGATCATGGGAATAATTCGCGAATGTGGAGGGAAGATGCATATGGCAGAACGTCAGTGGCCAGAGGCAGCAACAGATTTCTTTGAAGCATTTAAGAACTATGATGAAGCTGGGAATCAGAGGCGTATTCAATGCCTAAAGTATGGTTCCTTTTTTCTCTAACCTTTTGTTTTTCTTATTTAAACATTTTAATGTGTTGAATTTTAATCATTCCTGGCTCACTTCCAGATACCTTGTTCTGGCTAATATGCTTATGGAATCTGAAGTTAATCCCTTTGATGGTCAAGAGGCAAAACCGTAAGTGTTTTATGAGGTCAGATTAATGCCTTTGAAAGTTTTACCTCTTCCTATTTCTTACTTTTGATTTCTATTTCTGCAGATATAAAAATGATCCTGAGATTTTAGCAATGACAAATCTTATAGCAGCCTATCAACGAAATGAGATAATAGAGTTTGAGAAAATCCTCAAGGTAGATGGGACACTTCATTGATGTACTGTCTATGTGTCACTGGCTCTTGTCAACCCCTCCCCCCCCCCTTTTTTAGTCCTTTCGCTTAAGTTGGGAGTTTTTTCCCCAGAGTAATAGGCGGACAATAATGGATGATCCATTCATTCGAAATTATATTGAAGATCTGTTGAAGAATGTCAGAACTCAAGTGCTACTTAAACTTATCAAGCCTTACACAAGAATCCGGATTCCTTTCATTTCAAAGGTGAACTCAAGTGCTCCTTAAACTTATCAAGCCTTACACAATACCAATGCTCAATGCTATTGTTTATATTTTTGTCCTCTATTGTTGTTGTGGTGTGGGTTTCTAGCTTGAGTTTTTTTGTTCCTGTGACACCCAAGAGCACCATGTGTAATTGCACCTGTTCAATTAACACTCTTACTGAACTCATTGAACCTGGTTAACTTTAGGAACTCAATGTGCCTGAGAAAGATGTTGAGCAATTGTTGGTTTCATTGATCTTGGATAACCGAATTGATGGACACATTGACCAAGTGAACCGGCTATTGGAGCGTGGTGACAGGTTGATGCCTCTTCTTATTACTTATCACTTGGTGTAGCTTGGTAGCTGATTTAGAACCAATGTTAGCTGGATTTGAATCTAACTTCAAATATATCATGCTAATGCAGGTCAAAGGGCATGAAGAAGTATACTGCTATTGATAAATGGAACACACAACTTAGGTCACTTTATCAAACCATCAACAACCGGGTATACTGAGAGATCTTGCATATGCAATATGATTTCCCTACAGTCTACAGTCAAGGTGGTCCTCTTTTTTCAAGTTGTTTCTGACGGGAAAGAAGCATTGCATCTTACCGTTTTGGTGCATAATGTTGGTGAATCATATGCGATGTGTTTCCTTCCTCCAAGTGGTTCTGCTTTTTCAATGGCCATAAGTAATTACACATACCTTCATGATTTGTAAACATATGCATGATAGTGCATTAGAGGTTGGAAGAATTTTGATTTTGGGAGGACTTCTTTGCTTTAACGCTTATCTCCTATTGAGTTGAATGGAACCCTCAAGATTCATCTCTGATTTGTCATCTATTTTTATTTAGAGTTTTTATTTATTTATTTATTTATTTTTTTATGTATTGAGAGTGCATGTTAAAGATGCCATTATAACATTTTTTTATATTAATTAATTTTGAAAAAAAATAAAAATTGACTTTTATTTAAGCATATAAATAAAAAAAACCATTTTATTTATATAATTATTTGTTTTCTATGGCGAACTTGTCATGTGATAAACTAGTATTAATTGTTGTTGATTCCATACATTTATGTCACTAATTATTGTTCAAATTTGACAATAGAAAATATGGGGTGATATTATAGTTACATTTTACTCTATTAAATTAATTATCACATTAAATTTTATTCTTCTATTTGGCATAAATTTAAAGTTGGTGGGGAACCTGACCTATAAGGTCAAGTGGCCTTCATTACTCTGGTAAAGGTTCACTTTCTTCCTTGAGTGACGGTTTAATTTGATTTCATGACAATTATCCAAAAGAAAATTTAAAATTGGTGGGAATGGTGTCGCGGAGATACAAAAGTATAAATGCAACATTTTATTGTGATATTAACCTTTGAAAAAAAGAAAAAGAAAAAAAGACGTTAACCCAGTACTGACTCTGGTTGTGGACCTTTAAAACTGTAGAGCAAGAATACAAGGAGGAAAAAGCTTGCCCCCGTTTTCAACCTAATGGTCCCAACTCATATCACCCTCCAATGTCCATTTCATCATTTATTGTCACCATGCAAAGGCAGTTCTTAAAGCACTTCACACCACATGCTGAATGCATTTTAATTGTTGGTGTGGACTTTTGTCAAGGACACGTAACGAATATGCATCCATAGCGTTATGTTCAATAAATTAGAAAAAAAAAAAAATCACATATCCACACATTTAAGGAGAGTAAGGAATATGATCAAAAACTTTATTTTCGGATGGAAATTTTAGTCAAAGTTGAAATGGAAATTATAGTAGTAAATTAGCAGAAACTTCTAGAAAGATGAATCACACAAAAATCATGGCATTTCTCATATGAAAAAATCCCTTTTGCTTTTGCATAGTTCTTCACGTGATCGAGTATTGAATCTTTGATTTTTTTGTGTGTGTGTTTTTTTTTGTTTTTTTGTTTTTACCATAGTATTGAATCATTTATTACGTCACTAATTTTTTGTCTCAAAAAATTTTGACTGTTGTTTTTGTATTTGTAAAATGTGTGTGTATTTTTTTTATTTCTTTTTAATTTTAATTTTGTAATAAGCACACACAATCACATTTAATAATTTAGTTTATTATTGTACTTTTTCTATTCCTTTTCTCCATTTGTTCTTTTTGTAGTTGATTTTTTACACTTAATTTTAAGTAATATTTGTATAATCTACTATGTGAATTGAGTAAAGTTTTTCTAATAAAAATAAAATTATTCATCAAAATTATTTATAAAAAAGTTTACAATTATCATTCATAAAAGTACATAAAAATATTTTATATATATTAAAAAAAGATAATAGTATATATACAAAAAGTGAGCAATATTTTTTTTTTATGTTTACCAATACTAACAATTAAGGTAAAATTAATAAAAATATAAATTAATTATAGTAATAACAATAATTATTATTATTACCATATATTAGAGTAACTCACGTGCGAATTTGAGTAAATCATTTGTCATCATAGGCCAAAATTCCAAAATTTACCATAATTATAGATCCAATCATTATATTCAATTGCCCCTTTAAACTCTAAAATTGGCCACACATTACAACTTCACAGTTCACCTGAAACCCACTCAGGAGAATTGAACTGAGTCAATATTCCAGCATCTACTCAAATGTAAACTATGTAAGGGATCCTTTTTTCTTTTTCTTTTTTTCACGACACATCTTTCTTATCATTTCAAATCATGAATATAATTATCGAATTATGAATGTAGACTTAATAAAGATACCATGATAAGATAAGAAAGAGTTCAATAATGCATTTTCATCATTTTATGCATTTTTGGTCACAATATTAAATTAATTTCGGTGGCGTTTTTTTTTTATTAATTTGGTGCTGGATTTGTTGGACCAATCTATTAATTAAGGTGACAAGAAATGGGACCAATTCTAGCTAATTAGAAATTAAGAAATATATCTTTAATTTCATTTAATTAATTAAGAATTTAAAATTTTAAGTTAAAAATATCAAATTTAAAATAAAAATAAATGTTAAAAAAATATTTTCTCTTATATAATTTATCATATAGTATATAAACTATATATATATAAAGAAAAGATGGTGACAACAAGCAACTACCCACTTTTATTATTTGCCATTTTCATTAGAAAACATGGTATTTGTAGCATTCTCCAAGGTTTTGTTTTGCTTTAGGAATTTGAGTTATCTAACAAATAGTTTTAAGAGTGTATTTATTATTATTTTTTTATAATTTTAATTATAATAAAAAAATAATTTTAATTTTACAAACCACTCAATTAAAATTATCCACTTAACATTAATGTTAATTTTTGTGTTTTTTCACCTAAATAAATAAAAGCATAAATAATTAAATATAATACTAACTTATACTCTAATGAGACAAGTAAAATAAAAAAAAAAGAGCTTAGCAACCTATTTGTTAGTGTCACATTATTATGGAGTAGAAAATTTATTACTCTCAAAATAGGTTTTTTTTTTTTTTTTTAATGTAATGGTTAGGAAGTTAGTATAAATTAATTGTTAGTAAATTGAGATTTGATTTTCAGATTGGATAAACATTCTACCCGTTCAAATGAGACACGTGGCCATCAGGCTGTTTTTGGTGGAGTTCACAAAAGTTATAGAGTTTGAAGTTACGACCATCTCACCCGAACAATTAAAGTTTGGGGTCGAACCATTGGATCTAAAAGATCGATTTAGGTATATTATTATTTTCAATATTATAATTTAATGAATTAAAAGAAAACCTATATGAACTTAAAAAAAAAAGAAGGAAGTTTACTGTATAGTTGTAGGCGTTTACCCGTTTGACGCAGTATTTTTGAGGAAACGTCCAAAAAGAACTCGACAAAGGAAGATATTTTAACAGTTACAGAAGAATAAACAATGTTTTGTTTTTTTGTTTTTCTGTTCTTTTCACCTCTATAAATCAATAAATTAAAAAAGAAAAAATGAAAAAAGTTTTGCTCACGCAAAAGGAATTCAAATTCAATAGGAGCAGGCAGAAATTTGTCTGCTTCCAATCCCAGCAAGCATGTCGTCATCGTCATCACATTCATCATCTTCATCAAAATTATAGTGTGCCCTTTTGCCTTTTTGGCATCCTCAAAAGCAAAATTCCTCATAGTCTTCTCCTCCTCCTTGCTTCTTCTTATCAAAGTCTTCAAGTATATCCTCTTTCTTTAATACATGTAATCCAGTTTTGTACTTATTTTATTGAATGCAATTTAGCTTGCATGTGTATCAAATTTATTCTTCTCTCAGCTTTCTTTCCCAATTCAGTTCGCTTTCAAGATCGTACCTTTACTGTTCAAACACGCAAAACTTGTTTTCTTACTGTCTGTTGATTGATTCACCTTTAAAAAAAAAAAAAAGAAACTTTTTTGGTGATTCCCTTTTCGAAGATTTTCTGAATCTTCATTTCTTGGTGATCTTGTTCACAAAAGTGTTGATTTTCGGCTTTGCACTTGAAAATCCAAAGAGAGAAGGTTGAATTTTTGCGTTTCGGTTTGCTATTGGGATTCCTGAGAGGTTTTTGAAATTTTTTTTTTTTTTGGTCTTTTGTATATGAGTTTTATGGTTGGTTGAGGAGATTTGGTGTTTAGAACGGGCAATTAAAACAAAGATTATTGAGAGGGAAATCTTTTTAGGTTTAATCTCAAATTTAAAACTTATTTGTTTGTGAGATGTTCAAGAGTTGCTAAATATGAATTTCAGGAAAAGAAAGTTAGAAGGATTCACTAGAATGACAACCATGAGTCAGCCTAAGATTAAGCGTAGGGTCGGTAAATATGAAGTAGGAAGAACAATTGGTGAAGGGACATTTGCCAAGGTTAAGTTTGCAAGAAACTCTCAGACTGGAGAACCCGTGGCACTTAAGATCCTTGATAAAGAGAAGGTTCTCAAGCACAAGATGGCTGATCTGGTAACCTTATCCTTGTTTTTGTCAAATTTGTTGCTTGCTTCTGTCTTTTTTTTTTTCTTTTTTTCTTTTTTAGGGTAGATTGGAGAGGTTTTCTTAAGTGTTTTTTTTTTTCTTACAGATCAAGCGGGAAATAGCCACAATGAAGCTGATAAAGCATCCAAATGTTGTTCGACTATATGAGGTCTTCTCCTCTCCCTTGGCTATTTTTCATGTTCATTATGGTGGTGATTTTCATATAGTGCATTTTTTTAGGAAACCTATTTATCAATGTGCATTATTTTGTAGTATTGTCTTTCAATTACCATCTCTGAAGACTGGGGGAAATTTTTGGCTTTCATTTTCAAGTAATCTTTAATCATATTTTATATGTCTTTTAAGGGGCTGAAAAAATGGATCTGAATTATATGCACGCATCAAATTAGAGTTTTTTATTTTTATTTTTATTTTTTTATTTTTTTTATTTTTATCTTATCAATCAACTTTGTATTTCTACAGGTGATGGGAAGCAAAACAAAGATATATATAGTTATGGAGTTTGTCAATGGAGGAGAGCTGTTTGATAAAATTGTAAGTGCCTGGGACTATTCTCCCCTTTTTTTGTAGGTAGTTGCAATAAAGGAATTGGAGAGTTGGGACTTTATAATTGAAAATTGGAAAGGGTACAGATTAAGCTTCATTAATTATAGTATTTGTAATTGATTTTGCACAAACTTTCATGTCAAATTTATATCTTTTTACAAACTTTGAGTACAAATATTATATTATATTTTAATTTTACATTTTATATTTTATTTTAATTGAATCTGGTATAAAATTTTTTGTAAAATTAATGATAGATACCGTATCTAATGAGGTTTAACTGTGTCTTAGGGTACAGGTTAGAAAATTCCGATTGGAAATGCTGTTAAGCTGTAAGGCTTATTCGGTTGCATTCTTTTTTTCTTGCCTGGTGGATCTTTTAATCACTGATTGTGCTGTATTGATTTTTTTTCCATCATCATTGTTGCTTATGTCTAAGCTGAAGCTCATAAATTTTTAACTGCTACATCCTTTGTTCCAAAGTAATAGCCAGACTTAACTTTTTAGAAACTGTTCTAAGCCATTTTGGCAACAACATTAAAGAATGGAATGCAGAATAAAATGGTTCATTGAATTGAAATATGTTTGGCTTTGCACCTAATGTATAATTTGCTTTAATTATCTTTTATTCTAAAGGTAAACAATGGACGGATGAGAGAGGATGAAGCACGGAGATATTTCCAGCAGCTCATTAATGCTGTCGATTATTGTCACAGCAGGGGTGTCTTTCACAGAGACCTGAAGGTGCTTGAACTTGCCACCCTTTGAACATGGATTTTTTGTTTGACAAAGTCCATAATGCTTGCAAGGAAAAAATAGTGAATCATTTTACTTCTCTTTATTTCTGTTGCAGCCTGAAAATCTGCTGTTGGATGCATATGGCAACCTTAAAGTTTCTGATTTTGGATTAAGTGCATTATCACAGCAAGTCAGGGTAATTATAATGAATTACTTATCTTTCCCTTTCTGGAAGTTGAAAGTTATGAAACTCTGGTAATTGATAGATTAATTCCTCTTCAGTTTCCTACAGAAATTAGATTTCACCCATATATTTTGCTCTGATTTTTGTTAACCAGGAAAGATGTCTCTGGCATGCTTAGTCTAAAAATTATCTAGTATTCTACTGATGGCTTGTTTGCTTAAATCATTTATGTTTTTGTCACAACTGGTCCCATAAGTTGGTTTCCTGACTGTTTATTTTTCTGTCCCTTTCATAGTCAACATATTTTACTAACCTAAGGTTAAAATGTCAGGATGATGGCCTACTCCATACCACCTGTGGAACTCCTAATTATGTGGCACCTGAGGTGTGGACAACGGTTTAATCCTGCTAATTCCCTTCCAGAATATCTCCTAAAATTCTGCTGCATAATGACTTACTTCCTTCTGATTTAGGTCCTTAATGACAGAGGATATGATGGGGCAACCGCAGATCTCTGGTCATGTGGGGTGATACTCTTTGTATTGCTTGCAGGGTATTTGCCTTTTGATGATTCTAATATTCTGAACCTGTACAAAAAAGTAAGCATTTTGTAATTTCATTTTACAGTTATCATATTGTTCTCCATCTCCTGTTTTCACTTAAAACTTTCCATATGTGCAGATTTCAGCTGCTGAATTCACTTGTCCTCCTTGGCTGTCTTTTAGTGCCATGAAATTGATAACTCGAATCTTGGACCCAAACCCAATGACAGTAAGTATATTTAACATGTTTGCTTTGTGAGGTTTAGGCTTTATCACAAATTTCTGATGTTTGGGTAGAGATAACTAAGTGATTGGCCATTTAGATCTTGCAGAGTATACTGGGCCTGGCACACCTATGCTGCATTTTTAGTTTTGGAAGATTGTTTTGACATACTTTTATCTAGTTTTTCCATAATACTTGACCTTCCAGAACAAATTAAATTGTGTACGTCTCATATTGTTATCTTTGTTGCAGCGTATTACAATTCCTGAAATTTTGGAAGATGAATGGTTTAAGAAAGGTTACAAGCCCCCTGTGTTTGATGAGAAAGAAGATGCAAACTTGGATGATGTAGAAGCTGTTTTTAAGGATTCAGAGGTAAGTCAGATTGCTGTTCTTAATTTAGTTTCTTCTTCTTATTCTTCTTCTTCATCTTCTTCTCCTCTCTCTCTCTCTCTCTCTCTTTCAATTGTTTGTGGTTTTAAAATCATTGACATTTTTTTGTGTTGCAATTGTACATTTATATTGGTCCTTAAAGAATTTTCTAATGAAGTTTATATTGCTCATATTGTAAAAGGAACACCACGTGACAGAAAAGAAAGAAGAACAGCCAGCAGCAATGAATGCATTTGAATTAATTGCTATGTCAAAAGGGTTAAACCTTGCGAATTTGTTTGATGCAGAACAGGTTTGCATCTATATAGGCTTTCCTAATCTTTTCTGCTTTCAAGTTTTGCATGCCATAAAATGATGATTATCTTTCTTTTGTCTTTTATTTTCATCCATGTGGTAAGACATCATTCAGAACTTGAGAAAAAAAAAAAAAAAAGATGTCAAAATGTTATTGGATAAATTCTGGTGTTCTTTGCTAGTAACAATATCATAGTTCTAGCTGCAAGTAATTCAATTGATTCCTATGATATCGCAAACACATCATATATATTTGAAATTATAACTTTAGGAGGTTACAATTGCTCAGTTTGTGTTACTTAACAAAGTTAGTTTCAGCTTATTAAAGCCATGTGTACCTAGATTCCTCCATATGTATTGTTACCTGGCAGACTATGCAGTAATTGACAGAAGCAACTGATGATATCCTCAAAATAATGAATTTTAAGTTCTATATTATTGTCTTTCGAATAAACTATGCTGGTTCACTGCAGGAATTCAAGAGGGAAACAAGGTTCACATCCAAGTGCCCTGCTAATGAGATTATCCATAAGATTGAGGAAGCTGCAAAGCCTCTTGGCTTTGATGTACACAAGAAGAATTACAAGGTTAGTTGATCTTACTCCAGTACTAGGATGGTACATTTTCAGCCATTTTTCTAACTGTTTTTTTTTTCCCCATTTTTTGTCATCTTATCTAGATGAGGCTTGAGAACCTTAAAGCTGGGAGAAAAGGAAACCTAAATGTGGCCACAGAGGTAATGACAGTGGAGCTTATTCAATTAATGTGGAGATTTTGGCTTGTTCTTGTTGCTTGTCTGACATTCTTATCATCTTTCAGGTATTTCAAGTAGCACCTTCACTGCATATGGTAGAGGTGCGGAAAGCAAAAGGGGACACTTTGGAGTTCCACAAGGTACCACTTTACATTTCCATCTTAATGTTGTTTTCCTTCTCTCAAGTTCCAGCAAAAATTTTCTGGCGGAGTGACTCATGTTCCTTTTGTTCTCTGCAGTTCTATAAAAACCTCTCAGCTGGTCTTGAAGACGTTGTTTGGAAAACTGAGGAGGACATGCAACAAGTGAAGTAAATATGAAGCCCAATCTTTTTGCGACCTGTCCATCCCTGCAAAATGTTCCTTGGTTTCCTTATATCTTCATTCTTTTTGCCCCATCTTTTTTTTTATTATTTTTAGGTTTTGGGATTGTTTTTCAATTTTTTGCCCTGTAGGATTAAAACATGTTGGCTTCTCCAATTGTTTTCCTGTATTATTGTTGTTGGAAAGCATGGATGAACTTGTTTGGTGAATTACACTCTAAAGGGATATTTTACTGGAGGTCTCTCGATTTGGGACCTACTTTTCTGTTTGGTCCCTGAAATTCATTGCTCTCTTTCACAAGGAAAATGGAAAGTGGAAAATGGCACCCCACAACACGTGAAATATAGCACATGGTTTTCAATTCGGTCACAGATTAAGAGGTGAATTAATCTGAGGTCTCCATACTCGGCTTGATTGTGGAAATGCATATGATATACAAAGTTAAATCTAATTCAGGAGGTTCTCTTAGAACATTGGGAAACTTGGGGGAAGGGGAAGCTTACAAAGCACAATAGTCATTACTGCAAGTGCACTCTAATACTAAAGCTTTCAAAAAAAAGAAAAAAAAGAAGAGGAGCCAATCCAATATAAAGGAAACTTATTTTGCCAAGATCCTGATACAGCAATACTTATTTTTCTGTTCATTGACAATTAAATGATAAGATATCGGTTTCCTCAGTGATTTCAGAACACTAGACAAAGCCTATAGTGTAGGATACAGCGAGTGGAAATGAAGTCATCAAACATAACCATCCCATAATGGAGAAACCCCTATCAGAGTCCAAGCACTCTTACCCTAACCTTAAAATGGCCTCTCATTTCCAAGGGGCTTCATTGGATCAATAGATAGTAAAAAATTGAAGCATTGTGGAAGATAACAAAAGCAATCATCTTCCTTGATCCAAAAGCCAGAAGAAGAGTCCCACTTTGATATGCAACAAAGGTATTAGAGTCTCTTTTCCCACGTTTGAAGGTTTCAGGTCCTCCAGATTTAAAAGAAACTTAAGAATTTTCAACAAGCCGGTACATAGTGATTTCCTGCTGCTTAAAATACCTCCGATCTTCTTCATCCACCAAAACAAGATTCAGATAGTATTTCACACTGAACTTGTTATTGATGTTACGGTATGTTGGTGTCAGTTCATATGGACTAAGGAAGAGTCTAATTGGAATTGATTCTCCTGTAAAAGCATAGCAATAGCATTAGTGTAAATGTGTGATGATTTCCTAAAAGCAGTTCATTATTGAAAGTGATAGAAATATGTAACATTAAGACTCAGGTGCAAACTTTGATTATACTTTATGGGTAACAAAAGAGCTACTACAGAAGTAAAACATGGAAAACATCTTAAGACTCGGTGTCAAAGGAGTATCAAAATTATCCCAACAAATAAGGGCTTGAACATTATAAATTTGTCCCCTTTCCGTATGGATCTTATATCAAGCTATACATGAACTGCAGATTGTTTTTAGAATTTCATTATGTCTGACAGAGATTCTCTAAACAGAAGCATGCTGTAGAGAATCAGCAAGAGATTTGGTACCTCTAACGGGAGCACCATCCATCAACTCAAATTTTGCAAGAGTCTCTGTCTCAACGTAAGTATTAGGCCCTGATCCAGTTGATTCCCGGCGTCTGATCTCAAGCTCCATATTTTTAAGCTTAATTCTCACTAGGAGAAAATATATTTTTCCAATAATGACATCCTTCAAATGATACCTGATTATTTTAGAACCCAATATAACTATATGAAAATTCCCCAACTGAGTGCAAAGTATTCTTCCAAGAATTTGCTAAAACCCAACTGTTTCAAGATTCACTCTAGACCACTTACTTGCTTTTACTGTATTCGAATTCAATGTGTAGGCAATCCTCAATTCCAACTTCCATCTAATTGAAGCAAAAATACAAACATAAAAAAATGGCATATTGTCACCTTTTTTGGTGGAACGTTTACATCATATCAAGAAGAAAATCATAAATGAAGGAATTAAGATCTCTAAAGAGGCCTGTTAGGCACCACTGGGCTTGAGCTCAAAGTTAAAGTTTAATTGCTAGACGACTAATAAACACAAAGATCCCCTTGACATATTTTTGTCTTCTTCATCATCAAACAGCCTTCCAAAGAAGTACGCAGATAATATGTGAACAAGTTATAGTTTATTACTGTGTTGCTAAAGGTTTACTAATATACCAACAAGCACAAGCATCCCTAAGCCCAAACTCAGCTCATTTATTGACTGAACTTCAAAAATGCACTGAAAATCAAGCCCAAGCTTGTTCAGCAAATTTAAAAAACAATCTTGAACTAGTAGCCTAGTACTAATTAGGCTCAGCAAAAAGCTCTGTTCACTTGAAGTTGCAGAAACAATTATAGTTACAGGACAGTTTAGCAATCTTGCATTACTGGCAGAAAACATCAACACTGAGCCCAGTGCGCACTCCCCATAAGAATAATGATGATATATAAAGACCCAGATGAAAAGACTGATACTTTCTCAAAAGAAAGGCCAAACACAGGATTAAATTGCACGGTAGAGACAGGACAAATTCAAGCCACATTGACACTGTGTAAGTTTCATAAAAAAAGACCTTGACATAATAAACAAATAAATATAAGGTAATATCAGGGCAGTTTTCAAAATAGAAATACCATGTCAAGAATTTGTGACAGTTGACAAAGTGCATCAAGATTCGAGTATTGAACTTACCTTAATACTATTATTGATTGATGGAGGTGGAGAATAGTTACAAACCTGATGTTCAAAAAAGCATGAAATGTGAAAAAGAAAATGAAATTCAATCTACTTTATATGCATTAAGTTAACTGATCTCAGAGGAGAACATTACAACAAAATCTTGTTGCTCCACAATGTTGCTGACAAAGTTTCTACTGATTGTCACTTTCAATATGTACCTGCATGTTGGAAATAAAGACCAGAATAATCAGTCTTTGTTCATTTTTCTTCAAAATGAGTTCCATTTGCCAATTACAAAGCTCAAAATATGAAATTTGTGATCCTAGATTTCTTTGCTTATGTTATCTACTTTAAATGCATTAAGTCAAATGTGTCAAGTTATTGACTTAAAAGGAAACACTGACAACACATAGAACCCATATGTTTGTGTACAGCGGCAAAGTTGTGTGTGCATATATATGAAGAGAGTGAGAATGACTTTCTTTGCTGTTGACAAAAGTTTTGAATAGTCAACTGAGTTAGCCGAGAACAGAAACATGGTTTTACAATAAATCCAGCCAATCAAATTTACAGAATATGCAAAAATTTTGCCACAGGAAGCCAGAATACCTGTAATAAAAGAAGTCGTAAGATATGCAAATGCTAAATAAAGAACCTTAACCAAAAAAAGGTGTAAAGGAAAGCCTACCTAAGCCTTACATTGACCCCATTATATGATTCATATGGCATCTCGACGGTGGAAAATTCAAAGGGATATGTTTTTCTTTCGTACAGTTCACCAGGGACGTCAAGTTCACGTACTACAAAGAAGAGAAAGAAAATAAGACTCTTTTTTCTCACACATCAGGAACCAGGGGATGGAAACATGGTTAGATGCACTCACCGAGAGACGTAAAATCATAGAAGTTGCCTCTATCAAAATACAACTCTGTGACGAAGGGAAAAGAAATGTCATTGTCCAGAAACTTTGATATCATCCTTCATTGGCAAGTTATATTTAATCCACAAGCATTACTGACAAAAGCAAATGAAGCAAACCTATTTGACCGAGGAGCTCAATCTTAACACCATTATGCTCAACCTTCTTCCCTTGTACTGGTTCTATAACAACCTGAAGATAAAAATAATAATAATAATAATATAATAATAATAATAATAACCCTTAAAAATGCTCTTATGCAGTTATTCCAAATGACCAGAAAAGCACTCTGGTTCAACTAAGTAGTAAAAGGCATTTCAACGTTTCAAGGAGAAGACTCTTAATGCCACATGGCACAGACATTACCTCTCCAACAATGTTTTCTTGACTCTGGAAGAGAGGGACCATAACTGTTTTACCATTTTCCTTCTTCAATGGAGCCTATAAAGGCAAATTGAATTAATAAGAGTAAGTTCAAAGATCAAATGCATCCAAGACCAAGGCCAATCTAAGGATCTTTCTTAAGAATTAAAACAACTAGGGTGCAAGTGTTGACCAAAACTCAACCACATAGAAAAAAGAATAGGGAGAGGCTAGAAGGACAACAATATGTGTTCAAACCTCAATAGCATAATAAACTAATTTAAGAAGAAAATAAACACGAAAACCATGAATGAAAACGAAACGGTTTGTGAACCTCTGTCTAATTTCTTCTCATTCTTAGCTCCTACAACAAACTGTAACTTATATGTGAACCACAACCAAACCACCTTCAAACAAAATTGTGGGCAATTTACACAGACTATATATATACAACCAAAATTACTACAGTTTAGTTCAATGGCAGGCAGGCAGGCAGGCAGGCTGAAGCAAGGCAATTAAACGCTGAATTACAAAGTTTATCAATGAGAAAAATACCTGCTTTCGACTTCTTCCATCTGCAAATGAAATTGAAATATTGCATGGTGGTTTGAAAGCTCCAACAAAGAAATTCTGTAAGTAAAAAACACATAAAAATTAATTCCGCAACTAAAGTTCAGAGAAAATAGATCAAGAAACTAAATATCAGAACCATAATTGTATCAATCATGAGAAAAAATTTACCATGATCTCGCACTCAGATTCAGTATCGAAATCTCATCGAGAAACAGTAAGCAGTTACAAATCTCAATCTCAACCTCACAAACAAAACAGCAGATCGAGCTGATCAAATTCCTGTTCATTAAAAATCAGTTTCTCCATTACAGTCTGAAAATCTTTGCTCATGAATCAACAAGACAACCCCATATCAGAACCGAATCAGAAACCCTAGCTCAGAAACTTACCTCAATTAGAGAGATTTCAGAAGAAGGAGGGAACGTCGACTTTTGAATTCGGAGCAGATCGGGGAAGCTTTGCTTTCTTTAATTTTTTTTTTTTTTTTTTTTTTTTGTTTCCTCTGCACCGCCGGCCGTCAATGCGCGTCCGGGACAACCGTGACTTCGGGGCTTCACTTCCATACGGTCGGGTCTACCGAGTAAGGTTGAAAACCAATAAGAATGCGACACATCAGCTCCGAAGAGGGTAAGAACGGCAAAATGAAATGAAGGTGGGGGGTACAATTGAAAACAAAAAATAGTTTTGATTTTTCAATTTTTTGGGACATAAATTTTCCTTTTCATCATGGCTAGACCTCTTTTTTAACTGCTACAGTTTCTCTCTGTTTCTTGCCCTCTCGCCGGATTCCGGCGTGATGCTCTGCGGAAAATATTTGACGGCAATTTACGCGACGATTCGGAACGTGAGATCCGACTGAACTGCCGAAATCAAGGTAAGGGTGGAAATTTTCCACGCTGTTCCCATCTCAATCCCATCAATCGTAAAATCACCGTCTTATTCTGGTTCCGACGGATAGATCTGAAAAATTTACCTTTTGGATCCAGAATGAATTTGCTTTGAATCCGCAGTACATGTTATATATTTAATTTGATTCCTTCTGTTATACTCTTTTCATTTGCAGACGCAGTCTTTGGTTTTTTGAGCGTATACCTGTTTCTGATTTTTCAATGCATGTGGTTTTTGATTCTCAGGTTATTCTATATGGATGATTAGATTGGTGTTTCCTTATTTTTGACGGAAGTCTCAGTAATTGGGTTGCTCTCCTCTCGGTGTTGCTCTCAGACAAATTGATTTTTGTGGGAAAAAGAATTGGGCGTCTTCTGGTTTGTCATTCAACTTTTGAAAGCGGATTTCTTTTTGAGGATTAACTGCAAAATGGCTATATCTGTATTGGGTTATTTGTTTAATTTATGGAAACAATAAATACATGGAGATTGATTGCGTTCAAGGATTGGGATTTTCTTTTCCGGGTGATAGGGGAATAACGGAGAATTGTGGGATGATAATTGTTTTCTGTCATTTCATCTAGATTGTTTTGTTTTTGGAAGATTTGATTGATTTTGTTGTTGGGGGTATACTAAAAATTCAATTACTTGACAAACAAAGCTTGTTTTGATTGTATCATGGAGGAGGTGCAAGAAAGAAATCTAACTGAATTTTTTGTAAGAACTTTGAGGGGAGGAAACAATGATGGTCGTTTGCGATTTGGATCAAGTGATTCGCTTCTCCCTGGTCTCTTTGATGATGTTGCATTGAATTGTCTTGCTTGGGTCTATAGATCAGATTATGCTTCACTATCCTGCATAAACAAGAGGTTTAATAAGTTAATTAAAAGTGGCTATTTATATGAGTTGAGGAAGCAGCAGGGCATTGTGGAGCATTGGGTATTTTTGGTTTGTGATCCTAGGGGATGGGAGGCATTTGATCCCATGACAAAGAAATGGATGGCACTGCCCAAGATACCTTGTGATGAGTGTTTCAACCATGCAGATAAGGAATCCTTAGCTGTGGGTAGTGAATTGCTGGTTTTTGGACGTGAAATGTTTGAGTTTGCAATTTGGAAGTATAGTTTGATTCATAGGAGTTGGGTCAGGTGTGAGGAAATGAAACAGCCTCGTTGTTTATTTGGATCATCTAGTTTTGGTTCTGTTGCTATTATTGCTGGAGGGAGTGATAAGAATGGGAATGTTTTGAAATCAGCAGAGCTGTATGACTCCGTGTCAGGCAGATGGGAGATATTGCCAAACATGCACTTGCCACGTAGATTATGCTCTGGCTTTTTTATGGATGGTAAATTCTATGTGATTGGGGGGATGTCAAGTCCTACTGATTCTCTGACTTGTGGGGAAGAGTTTGATCTTGAGAGTAGAAAATGGAGAAGAATAGAGGGAATGTATCCAAATGTTAATAGGCCTGCTGAGGCTCCTCCTCTTGTGGCAGTTGTTGACAACCAACTATATGCACTTGAGTATCTAACCAATATGGTGAAGAAATATGATAAAGAAAAGAACACCTGGCATGTGTTGGGAAGGCTCCCTGTTAAGGCTGATTCGTCAAATGGATGGGGTCTGGCTTTCAAGGCTTGTGGAGATAAACTTCTTGTTGTTGGTGGGCAACGGGGTCCAGAAGGCGAAGCTGTTGTTCTGAACTCTTGGTGTCCAAAGTCAGGGGTCAACAATGGCACCCTGGATTGGAAAGTGTTGGATGTGAAGGAAAACGTTGGGGTGTTTGTGTACAATTGCGCTGTGATGGGTTGTTGAGCATTTTCTTAGGTTGAATTTGATGATGGTGGAAGACTTTCTTGGTGTTGGTGGGCACTTGTGGAATACGGCGCTCTGATCAAACTCATGTATAATCTTCTATCTAATCATGGCCTTTCATGGTACTTTGTGAGCACAATAAATTGTTACCAAGATAGCCATTCTTTAAGCTAAAAATCTGGTGGTCTTTTTCTTATTATGCCTCAATTTGCATGTATATCTTTCTTCCCGATTTTGCATTTCTTTTGCTTTCAGTTAAACAGTTGTGCTATTTGGCAATTTTCTATCATCTGTTGTTTCTTTCAATTATCGTACTTCAAACGGATTACATACAGCCGGATTAAGTACTCAATTGTCATCCAGTTCCTGCAAAATTTTTTCTTTTTCATATTATCAATTACAAAATCGACATGCATTACAGATATATTTTAAAGAAAATGTAGTTCACGTACATATAATAATGAAAGAAATTTTAGAAAATTATACAAATCGATAGCAATGCTTTCATTTTACAACTCATACGTCAATATATAGCTTAGTGGTTAATACATCCAAGTTTTTGAGTTGGACATTCAATTGGCCACCTCTTTTAATGGTGTATATAGCCTACATGGTATCGGGTCGACACCTAGTAGACAACTGGAATTCAATCGGCACAAGAGATAAGAAACAATGCTGAAACTTTCTTTAAGAAATTAGGATAAAAACTATACATTATTTACCCTTTTACAGAACATTACAAAACTCAGTCAAACCGCAACCGTAAAATTCATAGTCCTTCGAAAAGCTTCTCATTAAAATCAAGAAGCAATGTCTGAGTATATCAAAATGTTTCTCATTAAATGATGAAGACATATCCCGAAAGCTTTCACATCCAAAACTACAATGGGGGAACTCTTAGAAACCCAATATACCACTATACAGAGTTTGCTACTACCTACACTTTGTGCACAAAATACATTGTGCAAATCAGATATATTCCAGAAAAGTTTGCTTCAGGCCTTGTAAGTAGTTTGTGAGTCTCCCGCTGGCCAATAATGTAAGGAAAATCAATTCTAGAATCCCAAAAAGGCTGCTCAAAAGCACCAGTTTTTCTGCTGTACATGAAACAATGGAGAACATGAGAATTTTATAGTCAGTAGCAGTTATGTATCATATCTTCCATTGGTTTCTTCAATTCTTCTCTCTGCAGCGTATTTCGCTTGCACCAGCACAAGTACTGAGGGATGGGCCCATGTTCTCCAACAACCCATGTATGCTCTGCCGTGTCATTCAAAGTAATCCTCTGTCTTGGGTCTGTGAAAGACATTCACAGGTTTAAAATAGTTTTGTCCAAGGGAGAGACAAATGAGTTTTCAATTTGACAAATTTACACAGCACAGGAAATAAAGAGAAAAGGAATTACTAGCCTTTGCAAAGGAGTCCTTCTAGCAAGTTTCTTAACTCCGGGTTCATATCATCAGGAAGTCTCAATGGGTTGTTAACAATCTGCAAAATTAAAGTGAAGTAGTAAACAATGTTCTAGTGTTTCAACTAGAAATGGATATTTTCCAAATATCATATGTAGAGAGAGAAATTTGCATACCTTGTCGTATGTATCCTGTAGTGTTTCACCTAGAAATGGATATTTTCCAAATATCATACAGTACAGAGTAATGCCTACTGCCCATGTGTCTGCATCTTTTCCATGATATGTTAAACCTGCCAATCAATATCACATGCATTTATAAATTCATTCAATATCCTATACCCATATTCTAAATTTCATAGAGGCATATTTTGCGCTTAAAGAAGAATTACCTAAACAGCACTCAGGTGCAGTGAAAACAGGAGTTCCAGGAGAGCGGCGAAGCTCATCGTCACCATCCTAGAGAAGAAAAATAACTATGTTTAAACAAAAAGTCAGAAAAAACAGTCTACTAAAGCATGTGGTTAATTGGAGAATGCTTGCTCAAAGGTTTCAAGCTTAAAGGAGGTCTCTTAGGCTAGCCACTATAAAATTCTGGGCAACATCTCATTGCCCTGACTCTTCATTTCTTCCTTGTTAACAAAAGTACCACAGGAAATGCAACTACCTGAATATAAATTATAGAATAGTTTTTTTTCCTTTTCTTGATGGGATAGGCCAATTGGTTGAAACCCCATGAGGGGAGAGGAGGGGCAATGAGGGTTCGAAACTTGGCCATAAGGGTGAGGAAGCGCCTTTTTCCCAATAGCTTGGTTAATTAGTCTATAGGCCTTCCTCGTAAATTATAGAATAGTTATAGCTAATAGAGAAGAGTAAAATAGTCAGAGTTAATATAATTTTATTTGGCCAAGACAAACAATAGATTTAATGTTCTCATAGTTTGCCACCAATTGAGTCATCTGCGTGAACAAAACTAAGGGTGCAGAAGTATCATTACCTCAACTACCTGGCTGACGCTGAAATCCCCTATCTTCACAGTCCCAGCACTAGTAATCAGCAGATTATCAGGTTTTATATCCCCATGCACTATATTCTGTTTTTTAAAGAAGAAATGACAGGAAGAGTAAGCATAGTACCAGCACCAAGTTAGAAAGAAACTGGTTAAAAAATAAATAAAAAGAAATGAGAGAGAGAAAAATAATTTGCCTACTGAGATCATACATGAGCATGGAGATACATGAGCCCTGAGACTATATCTCGCAAATACTTCCTGGCAGTATCTTCACCAATGCCTCGTGTGTCACCAAAACCCTCACAAACCCATTTGCCTTCAACATATTCAAGAACTGAAAAAGAGAAGCATTATCTGTAAGTAATATTGCTACCCTAAAAGTTATCACAATCTATAACACTGATGCAGATTTAACCACACCCTTTAAAATATAATAAGCATAAAACAAAGGAGAGAGAAGGAAGAAATGGAAATGAATACCCATATAGAAGTGATCTGTGTTTAGGTCATCAATCACCTCAACAAGATTAACTATATTAGGGTGCTCCAATGATTTCATGATTAAAACCTGCAAAAGTCAGAGAAATGGTACACACAGCTCTCATATAACCAACAATAAAAAAAAAAAAGCAAGTTTCTTTTTTTCTTGTGTGTGCAAGAGAGGACAACGCCACTTATGCAACTCTAATTATCCACAAAGGGGCTGCAGTGCTGGCTTAGTGGCTTGGGAATCTAACCCCTTTGGCTTGGTGGGTGCTAACAACTAAGTTATGCAGTGGATCTGTATGCATATGTTTACTGATATGGTCTGTCTGCACACTGGCTCCAAGTCCCCCAATACCAGCAACAACTCAAGCAGATACATACTTTTTCTATCACTCTCGAACAACATGTACGTCAATTTTTTTTCCCTCAGTTCAATCAGGGATAAAAACTTCCAATGCCAATTCCTTCACCCTGTTAATATAACATTAGTGGGTTGGCCATTCCTAGCATCAAGCAATTCTTCTATTAATCTATTAATCTATGTTACCAATATCATGTAGCTGACAAGCTGCATGTAAAATTATGGCACAGTAGTATCGAGCACATACCTCACGATAAACATCAGACATAGCAGTCTCAGAAGGGGCAACCCGCACCTTTGATAAATGAGACTTATGAAAGGCCTGTAATTGAAATACACAGTTGATAAGACTTTGAGGGTGGCTGTTTAATATAAACTTATAATTAATCTATGAACTGCTGGACACTAAAATTCCTGTATCTAAAAGATCCAAATAATAAGTTTCTCAACTTCATTATTAGAAGATCAATGCAGCCTCAATTAACTTACATATTTGTAGGAATACAAGACCGATGACATAATTGCAGCAGAATTGGTTGAAAACAAACTATTAGTTGTTACCCAGCACTTATTAGCCAGAAGTTATACATGCTATGGTGCTACTGTATTAAGAAAAACCAGTACCTTAATAGCATAATTCTTTCCATCTATGGTTCTCCGATATAAAGCCTGTCATGAAAGCAATGGTGAAAGGCTTCAAACAAATCCTTCCAGGCAAGTAATACAACAAGATATCTCTCAACGCTATGCTTACCACTTTGCCATAGCTACCAGAACCAATCTTACGTTCGCGCACATATTCATTGACCATTTTATTCCCATTTTCATCCTGAAAACACATTAATAGATTCAAAACTTTTTGTCATACCAGATAAATGCAGAATGTGAAAACAATTACTTATAGAATCATCACACAAACACACACACACAAAAGCACAAGAACTTGACATGCAGACATAAATGCAGAAGACATATGCTTGGAGACTATAAATATGTTTTCCACTGTATTTTCAATTCATCAGAAATAAAGAGAAAACAAAGACATATCTTTTTGAAAATGAACTAAAAGAGTTGCAAAGATGGACAAAACCACTTATGTCTTCATACCCAAATAACACCATAGTTTACACAATGAGGAAAGAAGAACTGGAAGCTATGCTAGACTTTCTAAGTAACAGAACCAAGGAAGCATAGAGCACTTAAATCAGTCCCCAAATTAGAATGTTAAGCATCATACAACCTAGCAACTAAATTGAAAACTATGCAGAAGATACAATGAACGACCTAATAAAACTAAACGTCCTCAAAAAATTGAGCTGCATGCAATGACAAGTTCATTGAACTATGCAAGCTACCACACTAGAAGTAGAACTCCTTAAAATGAGTATGTAATACTCATGGCAGAAACAATAAAGAAGTAGACTTGATGATAAAAGACGTAGCATGTCTCACAAATATATGAGTGAAACTGAAGTCCCAAACCCATTCTGATACTTACCTCAGAGCGTATAAGCTTGTTTGTTTCTTTGACAGGAAATTGTCTGCAAATCAATCCATTCTCCACTTTGAACTTCAAAATCTCTTCAGGTCGTTTTGATCGGCCTTGCAACTCACCCTCGTCTCCCATGGCAGTGCTTGTGACCTCACCATTGTATGAATAATCATCTTCTTCAATTTCTTCATCTAACAAAAGTTCCAGGGACTGACTTGACCCAGAACCATAAACAGGCCTTGATTGTTGTCTGGGCTTCTGACTGAAGCCAAAACAACCAAAACAGCCCATTGCTCTAGCAAATGTTAAGCCCTTATTCAACATTAGAATAACCGCACCGTGAAGCAGAAAAAAAGCCAAACACAAAATCTGCGAAGAAAATAACCTAAAAGTTAAGAACCCAGCAATCCAATGGCATAGTAAAAAAAGGCAGTACAACATTCACAGCTGTTTAATCAAGTATGCAATTGAATGAAATAATATTCAAAATTAAGACTGACCTACTTGAAACAAAACAAAGAAAGTGAAAGAAACATTTTTGTACCCAGACCTGAATTAAATGCAAAACAGAGGGCTTCAACCCCCAATATAATTTGCTATTCCAGCGGATGCCATTCAGCCAAATGAAAGAAACAGTTTCCCATATAAAATCCACCGCGACGGAAAGCCAACATTTCTAGAACCCTAGTTTACAGCAGCAGATGCAAGGGCAGTCACCTCCACCACCCTAAGCCAACAATACCTAGACCGATCTGCATTTCCCCAAGATACAATTAAAACGTACCAAATTAACAACAAAATAAACATGAACTAATTCAATTAAATAATTGAGCAACTTAATCATTAGCTGAAATTTAGGTAGAACACAAAGCAGAATAGAACATTCAAGCGAATCAAACGCCAAGATTACGAGTAGGAGAATAAGAATCGTAATTTTTTTTTAAAAAAAGGAGGGAATAAGAATCGTACCATAAGAATAACGAATCAATTCTCAAAGTATAAAATTTATTGTGTAACAACGACAGCAATCTCAAAAACCCTAAATCTTCAACTGGCACCCAAGAAATGTGGAGGGATGGGTTGAAATACTAAAAACCCTAGATTGGGAGTTGGATTGGGGAAAACCAACAAGATGGGTCCACGATTAAAGGGTGATTGGAAACCTAACCGTCAAGATTTCATCGGAATCAAAGAAATGTAAATGTCAAAGATTGTGAATCACGACAGCAGATTTTCTTTTGTGTTGGACCTGCTGGTTTGGTTTGTGACTTTGTGCCAATAGTTTGGTTGGCATTTTATTTTGGTTAAACCCCCAAATTTGATTACTAAATTATTATATATACTCTTAATTTTGATCTCTAAATTAAAAGAATTCTTGATTTAATCTCTAAATTATTATATAGAGTTTTAATTTGATCTTTATTATTTATCAATTTATCTCAAGTTAATCTTTTTATATAAAAAAATTAATGTATTCGATACTTAATGATAAAAAATAATAATTTAATGATCACGTATCACATCTCACATTAATAACAAGATACGTAAGTTAATTTTTGTATGAAATAATCAATTTATGATAAAATAATAAATAATAGGGACCAAAATGAGATCCATACAATAATTTAAAAATTAAATTATTTTTTTTAATTTAAAGATTAAATTAAAAGTATATATAATAATTCAAAAATCATAGTGAGGATTTAACCTTTTATTTTTTAAGTCGGATGATAACATAAAGATAGCACTCCTTTCCAAACGGTCAAACAACCTCCGTACAAATCTTAAATTTAAAAAGAAAAGTTATAAGTAATGATGTTAGTT